ATTAAATAGAAGACAGGAGTAAAATATAGTGTTATACTTTATACACTAAAATATGCAGTACGCAAATTCAAACCAAGATTAGCTTTTATTTATCTCTTTTCTCATATTTATATGTTCGCTACAGCAGGCCGAACGGCTGAACCAAATTGGCTAAACAAATTTTGATATTTGAAAAATGCTCGGGCTACGCTGGGCTCTTCAGCTAAATTAAATTATCATAAGACAAAGCGCGGGTGTTTTTTTTCAAAGACAATTTAAGGTTTTGGCGTATGTAAAACATGTGTCACTATTTTAGAAGTTGGGATCAGTTTGACTAACAAGAAATCAACAGTATATTATGTTATCATTTAAAAGCAAAAATAGGAATAATATGAATATAACAATGATGTTAAATCAGGAAAAAGGTAAAGAGGGGGTGAAAAAGTAGAGGGGAAAGGGTGGGTACTCAGCGGAAGGGTTGTAACAGATGGTAACATATATTATTAGAATCATGTTTATGAATTACAGGGTGAAGAAGATAGCAAATACTAAGTTTATCCAAAGAAATAACTTGCGTATCTATCTAAAAAGTTTTTGAAGATTTTTCTTTTAAACAGTTTTGAAGGTTTTAAGCTCTAATTCAAGCGAATTCCATAATTTTGGAAATAAAGCGGAAGGAAAACATTCTAGCGTTTTAAAAAAGAACCCGCTCGAGTTTATATGATTTTGTTATATTTGGTTCAGCTAAAGAATTAAAAATATCCTGGAAGGAAGCTGGAAGGTTTTCATAAAAGTATTTATGCATAACAGATAGAACACCTAGTTTATATGTATCAGCAAGATTTAGAAGTTCTAATCTGAAGAATATTGGATCTGAATGTGCTTTAGATGAACTATTATTTACTGCTCTAAATGCAACATTGGGTTGCAATTTGAAAATATATAGGGATAAGAATATCGCAGTTTGTGGCAAAGACTCAATTCCATTAGTTTGAGAAAAGTGCTAATGTATTTTCCTATTTATAATTCAACCTCCGAATCTAAAAGTGTTCAAGTAACAAAAGTTTTTAAAAGTTTTTTTTGCAAACGATGTCTTTCTTTACTTTACGTTATATAATTATTTTATTTGTATTGTATCGAATCCTTATTTTAAAACATACAATAATGTAATTAATTATACCTTTGTCTGATCATTTTCATTTGTTTGACAGAAATAAAAATAAAAAAGGGGACAGTATGCGTAATTTTAAATGATCTTTCATTTTAAGATGGACATCCCCGATTCACAACGGTACCCTTTAAACCTTCTACTGATCATCGAGGACAGAGATCTCAGTGTATAAATCTCTTAAATGCTGTGTAAAAAGTCGTAAGGTTGGTATATTTCTATATCTACCTAATTATTAAGCTCTGAGATAAAGATTTAAACGGTTTCTACGTCTATTGTACTTGTCACTATTTTTATATTCCAGAGTAATTGAAATTCGGTTTCGACAGTACAAAGTCTTAGCAGTCTGGATCTGTATGTGCGTGATGAACTTTTGATAAGCAGTCTGGATCTATGTTTGTGATGAACCTTTGATTGGCATTCTGGATATATGTTTGTGATGAACTTTTGATTGGCAGTCTGGATCTATGTTTGTGATGAACCTTTGATAAGCAGCCTGGATCTATGTTTGTGATGATCCTTTGATTGGCAGTCTGGATCTATGTTTGTGATGAACCTTTGATTGGCAGTCTGGATCTTTATGTTTGTGATGAACCTTTGATAAGCAGTCTGGATCTATGTTTGTGATGAACCTTTGAGTGGTAGTCTGGATCTATGTTTATGATGATCCTTTGATTGGCAGTCTGGATCTGTGTTTGTGATGAACCTTTGATTGGCAGTCTGGATCTATGTTTGTGATGAACCTTTGATTGGCAGTCTGGATCTATGTTTGTGATGAACCTTTGATTAGCAGTCTGGATCTATGTTTGTGATGAATCTTTGATTGGCAGTCTGGATCTATGTTTGTGATGAACCTTTGATTGGCAGTCTGGATCTATGTGTTTAATTAATGATAAAAACTCAAACTTGTGAAAGTGCTAAGTATAAAACCAAAGCGAATTCTTTCATCTTTGAAATTATGTCTAAAAGGAGTGTGCCACAATCTCAAATTTTTATTACCCGATTTCTTTACAACCTGATGGTGCAAACCTTCAATATTTCAAACTTATTTATCAAGAATTCTCATAGTTTGAAATATCAAAAGTCTACGCCGCGTCATTGGGATGCGAAGATATGGGGATCTAAAAATCTGAGATTTTTGGCAAAAGCTCAATTTCTTTATTGTTCATTCCGTCTGACAATTATCTGTTTTTTGTCTACAAAAAATTTGTAAGATTAATCTTTTTTTCACACTGGTTACTACTGGGTCAAAGTTATTCAAATAATCTTAAATAATCTCATATAATCTCTTGGATTTTTTTATCCAAATATTCATTTTCAATCTGGACAAAGTGTAAGTTACTTTCCTCAGAACAAAAAAAAATTAGCGCGATAAAAAATAAAAGAAAAAAAATGGGGCTGCCCAATTCATAACGGTACCCTTGAATGCTTTATACTATAGTTTCAGTAGAAGTAAATATTTCCATTTACTGATAGCACCGATTAAAGGATTCATAACTCTGATTGGATAATAAGATAGATAGAAAGATAGATGTTACCGCCATACTATTTCTATTGGTTCAGAATAGACAACAAACACATGACTGAAGCCTGATTTGTCAGGCGCTAATGGACTCGGCATACAGGAGTGTTTATCAATGTTTATTTTCAATTGTGGTTTCTCTACAAAAGTGACATTGCGCATTTCTGTTGCAGGAAAATACATGCCCAGGACTACAACAAAAGTATTAGTAAGTTAGTGGGCGGAAAGTAAAGATGTTGCGACACTCTTAAGTCAATCCAGTCTTGAAAATGTATGCAATTTTTCATAACAGTCTAGATCTATGTGCTTTAAATAGATCTAGATGTTCAGAGCAGAGGTCTGTGAAATACAAGACGACTTTTAGATAAAAGGTATGATCAAAGAAAGTGAAAGAAACTTTATGAACAGAACAGCATTGCGAGAAATTAACGTACCCACTTTTAAATCAACCATTTAAAAAAAAAAATCGTAAATTGCTTCTCTGTATCAAAGAATTATGATGTAAAGATAGTTATTTCAGAGGTGTACGCATTTTTAGTACTGCAGTGTACTGTCTCTGGGCGGTAATGTAAACACAAAACGGATGTCACAGCCTGACATGGGATCCATCTTTAACGTAAAAATCATTGAAATATTCTGGTCATAGGAAAATATTATGTGAATCATCAAAATTTTTGAAATTAAATGCTTTTATCCTCCGCGGATATTAGAGTGTGCATCTATTCTTGTTTACAAATACAGCCCAGGGAAAACTGGTTTCAATAAGTGCGCAGAACATTTGCAACAGCAATAACTATCCTTGCCGTATTACCTTGGTCTGTATAGTGTTTAGTCTATGAAGAACAATGAAATATGTAAGTCTTATTTTTTATGAAACAAAACAACAACAGAAATAAATTTACTGATAAAAAAGAAATTTTGAATAGGTAATTAAAAAGCTATATTATGAAAAATATTAGAAGTAAACCTTCACCTGTACTTAGCAGTTTTAAAGCTCGTATTTCTCTAAAAATGCGATTAACTATTTATCAAGCCTAAAAAATGCACTTCCACTTAATTAGTTTTTCTTAAATGTGAGTGATACAGAATAAATACTTTGAACTTTATTAATCTTTTTTTCACAGAATTGTGATCGAAGGTATACAAATCAAATTTTTTGTTTAGACTTTTTAATCTGAAAGAATTCATAGTTTGAAATATCAAAGGTCAACGTATGTCATCGGGATGCAAAGATATGGGGACTTTACTGATCAATCAACTTAGTTTATGGTTTTAAACTCCTGGAATTATTAGTTTCGTTTTAGAGATGCATTAAGTTGCACTTTTATGAAGTTTTTAGTAAAGATGAGTATTGTGATATGGGCTTGTCCTTTAGGAAACGAAATGGTGCTATAATATTTTTTCTTTAAAATTTTAATATCTTTATTTGGATTTTTAGGACCTGGAATCAAATATTCTAGACTATTAGAGGCATTTAGTCCAACCTTTCATGGGCAAAAGCAATGACAGCTTCGGAAACAATTACATGTCCTTCTTTCCATGATATATTTTTTTCGTGATAAAATCTTCTCTGTTTACACAAAGCAAAAGAAATAATAAGAAAAACCTGTATGTTATTTTTTGACGTCGCCATTGAGAAACCACAATTGAAAACAATCTCTTTCATCCGACAAAACATTGAAGGGTACCCTTGTGAATCGGGTATTTCCCTCTAACTATGAAGAGACAATAACAATCACCTTTACAGTTGCGATAGTTTTTCTTAACAAAGACATAATTTTATTTTATTTATCTTTTTAATATAGAAAAGGTTAACACAGTTAACACAGCTAACTGAGTTAACTCAAATGGATGTAGAAACAGTAAAATTAATATTTTCTCATGTATTTTCTTTACTTTTCGGCTACAGGGGTGTTTTCATTGAATTTCTCTGTGTTTCCTTTAGTCAATCTTTTCATGGAATAATTTTGTAAAAATAAATAAAGTTCATTTTGAGCATTCTATGTTATTCATAAACAAGCTTTTAACATAGGGTACCTTTAAAACTATATCTATATGCTACGTTCTTTAGTATAAGTCGCTTTTAATTTAATTTTTAAGAATAATTAATTTCGTTTTTCGCGAGTTCTTCCTTAGTACACATATGAACTAAATTATTAATTTTCTGAAGCAAAAATTTATCTAAATTTTGTTGATTATTTTTCAAACCTGAATCCATAAATTAAAATTCTGAAACTTAGAAATTTCAAAATTAGGTACGATTACAAAAATGTATAATGGACTAAAAGGTTAAACCACATGAATTAACTCAATTTTAGAGTAGAAACATGTTTCTTAACTTTCAGATAAAATGGTGAATGTAAAGGATTTAAAGAATTGTTGTTGTTTACCAACAAGTTGGTATTTACTTCTCCTCGCCCTTCCTTCTACTCATACATCAAGTAAGCAACTAAATATATAATCTCAGGTCACAACTTTGGTATTAAATCGCGCTGATTCAGGCAAAACAGCTGGAGTAGCGCGATTTTCTGAATCGTTGGTGTTTTTAGTAATTAGAGATGTTCAAAATCAGTCTTCAAACAATTATTTTAACGTTTATTTTATGTTTAACAATGCATGTGTATAACATAAAATAGTTGCTGGTCGAAGCGATTAAACAGGGTGCCCACACGTCTGCACACACCCCGTCATAGTTCTTGTTGTACTTCAGTTTCTGCACTTCAATCTTGTTCCAATGTTCTTACTTGTAATTCAAATTCCATCATGTTCTTGGTTAAATTTTGTTTTGACATCCTCTTCGGACAATAAAAGATAAAGCTGAACCCTGTAGAAAGGAATTAACAATACAACAGTTCTGACGTCATCCTATATAATCATACTTCTTAGAGTAAAACATTACCTTCTGCCAAATACGCTAATTAAAAATTACTGATTTATCATTTATGCATCCTGATAAGATAAGATAAGATAAGATAAGATAAGATAAGATAAGATAAGATAAGATAAGATAAGATAAGATAAGATAAGATAAGATAAGATAAGATAAGCTATGATAAGATAAGAATTTCTCATCCTGGTATAAAGAGATTGAAGTTTATGTCATTGTATATTTTCAAATATATAATATTATACTAGCACACTGCACATATTTGTAAATATTGCTTGAAAACTAAACCCAATCTATAAACATATATTCAAAATATACATTTATGTATTCTTATAAAGTATCATAATTGACTGTTTTTGTTTGTTTGTTTGTTTCCGATAAATGTCATTTTTGGATCTCGCAAGTCACATGACCCTTTGAGAGGTGAAATGGAATTATAGCTAATCTAAACCATCGTTCACTCACGACCGGATATTTTTTTATTGTAATAACATAACATAAGCACCTGCAACTACTAAATTAGTTTCTGGCCACACCGGACTAACCAGAGTTAGAGGCATTCGGTTTCTTCTAGTTAAAATTATACGCGTTTTGGTCTTTAATTAAACAACCTTTAAACTTACGGATTTAGATGTTTTATACTTTTTATTCAAAATGTATATGCCGACAAAAAAGTATTCGAGACAAAAGCCAAAAAAATGATGTTTATTAGGACAAATTGTGATCGAAAGTCACAGTGTTCTGGAATATTAACAGAACCGTTAAATCCACTTGTGGCGTCGCCCGCGGTATTAAAAACATTCTCCGCTGAAAAAAAACCCTCCTGTGGAAAACTGGTTAAATTGAGGGTTTAAGTACAAAGGGAGGCATTAAAATTACCTTGAAATTTACAGAAGGAAAAGGTTAGATTTATGCCACATTTCTTGTAATGCTTTGTGACTGTGAACGGGCAGCTGTAGTACATTTGAATTTCCGAGCAGGGTCAACTTTTCCGGTACCAGTTTGTACTGTATCGCCCGGACATTGTGTAAATAAAGCAGACACTCAATAGGACTAGCCGGTGCAACAAGGTTGACGCGGTCAGACTTTAGGTTGAATTTACTTTTACTAAAGGGTCAGAGGTGCGTGCTCGAAGCTTATTTTTGATTTTACGCTCAAGTATGAGCAAAGCAAACTCTGATTTTCTAATCCCTGTCAAATAGATTCTTGTACAAAAGATGGCAATGTAGAATGTGTACACTATCAGTACAGCTGTATTCTGACTTTACAAGTGTCAATTCAGTTTTTTGTCCGACAAAATTATTAATAATTAATTGTAATAATTCTATAATAAAGTGCTTATCTTACAGTAAAAAAGTGTAATTTTATATGCTTTATTTTCTGTTTTACACTTTTTGTTGAATCTTGAAAAACATGTCAACTGATGTGAGAAAATTTCGTTTCTCTTGTTATATTTAACACTTATCACGTCGCGTATAATTGGTCCACTTATATGTTGCCACCTTTTGTACTTGATACTCTCTGTATCTTTGCAACCCAATGTAGTAGACCTTAGATATTTTAAAATTTAAAGTCTGTTGCATCAAATAACGGAAGTTTGAAAATCAAAGATTTACACCAACAGTTTGCAAAAATATAGAGACTATAAAATTTGAATTTGTGGCATACACTCAATTTATTTGTCTGATTCATGTTAGAAATTCAAAACAATTTCATTCGTGAAATACAATAGATTTTATCTCTGTTACAATATTCTTATCTCCTAATGTTTCGGTTTTGTAGGATGCCACGCCGTTTAGTGGAATTTTAAGAAATAATTTTCGGCTCAAAAAAGCAACAAAATAAAATTTTTTGTCCCAGCTTATCCAGGACATGATTTCCCTCAGTTTATAAAGTACATAATTTAGAGTGGTTGAATTTCATTTTTTCCCTTCAATCTTGATAAATAGTTGAGATAGGATATCCCCCATAGATAGATTAATACTCAAGTTATGGATTTTATAAGCTTTAACTACTTACATATTATACTTACATTCAGGACAAATAGAAAACTTGGATATTTCAAATTTAGATCGAACAAATAATTTAAAAATTTAATTTGTGAAGAAGTATAGTTAATGGAGTTAAGCCAAACAAAACATAAGTATACGCAAAAAAATACTACCTTCGTCATTAAATAGCTTTAAATGCAAAAAATGTTATTTCAAAAAACAAAAAACTTATTAAACTCTTACATGTCATACATTTTATAAGGACATGAAATAACGCCAATTAATCAATTAATAAGGCAATTAATCAAAGGGATTGTGACGTAATTTCAATTGACATTTCATGTTCATAAGGTGCCATGTCTAGTTTTGTAAAAAAAATTCTTAATAAATCCATCATTTTCATTTGAAAATGGATTTTTTTAGCTGAGGGTACTCAGTAAAGTTACTTGCGAATTTAAGCTATAAAGAAACAAGCTATAGATATATTTTTATCATTAATCTGAGCTGAAAACTTTAGAATGGAATATCCTTAATCCCGATCGGTTAATTAATCTAGAATTTAATAACATGAGGAGAAAAAGCATTATTTAATCTCGTGGATCAAGCATTATTCCTGATATCCATTATTCAATAGTTCCCACCACAGATAAAGTTTCAAGTTACGATCAGCTCTTATTGTTTTTTTTTTATTAAATATTCAAGGGTTTCACATTATCAATGCATCATAAATATCTGAGATGTTTATTACAATTCCAAATTGTCCTGTTGCAGTTCTAGGGTAAATATTTTATTCAATGTAATAATTGTTGTTAAAACCATTTTAAAATATATCAGATCAAAGAATTAGAATTTTCTTAAATGCTTGAAATCAACCTAAAAACAATATTTCTGATTGGGTGAGATAATTGTTGATCAACGCCCTTGTATTAAGCAACTATCGCGGATCTGGCTTTGATGAAAACCTACGCACTCTAAAAATCACAATTAATTGTTTATTTAGTATAGGACCCATAAAACAGTGGATTAGGAAGACTGTTTATTGGACTATTTAAAATAATACTTTCTGTCTAAACACTTCTTCTTTTTATGGGTCCCACTGTACCTTTAGGTTCTGTTAGTTATTGTGAATTTCTGAAAACTAGAAAATCAAAAACTATGAATATGTAGATAGTTTTTATTTTAATAACTCAAACCCAAATAGAATATCAAGTACAATAGGTGGCAACAGAGAAATGGATCAATTATACACGACGTCACAAGTGTCAAATATAACAAAGAAAACGAAATTTTCTCACATATGTTTTGACATGTTTTTTATGATTAAATAAGAAATTGTAAGAACAGAAAATAGATAACACCATAAAATTGCACCTTTTTAACTGTAAGATAAGCTCTTTATTCTAAAATTATCACTATTATTAATAATTGTCGGGCACAATACTGAGTTAACACTTGTGATGTAAGAATACAGTTGTACTAAGAGTGTACAAATTCTAAGTTGCCATGTATTGTACTTGACAATCTATTTGACTCAAACCGAGCCCCAAAATGTGAACCAAAAAAATGCCGAGAAAAAAGATAAGCGAAAATATCTAAAAATAAGAAAAAATTTAGTATTTTCGAGAGATATTGTTTTTTGTCACTGGCTGTCAATTGCAATTAACGAAAATCCTTGAAACATTTTCTTAAAATCCGCAAGAGTATTTTTTAACTTTTCTAATGAGAATTTATATTTTGTACTTTAGAAAACCAGTTCGAATCCAGCAGCAGTTCAAGTCTCAGAATCTTTGTTGGTGATTCAGTGGTAGAAACAAATATGCTAAACCCTAGGAACAACTTTTAAACTTTTAAAACTTTTAAAAGTTCTTGTTTTTATACATAGTTCTTAAGTAACCAAATTGTAATCACAGAATATAAAAAAAATTATTTTTTAATACCTTAAAAGTAAGGACAATATCTTTTAAACTGCCCACATTATGATATCGAGATCAAACGTTAGGAATTAACGGTAGTCCAATCCATTTTAAGCAAAAAATCAGATTCGTCAAAGGAAAAAGACAATGACACGAATTCCGCTTTTTTTTCTGGTAACTCTGCTGTATGAGAGAGGTTTTAAAGTGTAATAATCTGGTCTAGATTTATATACACTTTATATTTTATATCCAACCTGATTTAAAGCCTGTTCTACAGTGGAGGTTATAATACTCCATACTACGACAACGAGATGATATCTAACCTAACACTAGAGGTAATATTTTATTTTAAAGAGACTGTTCACCAAATTTTGAGGGGTTTGGGGTGAGGGCAGATGTAAATCCCCCTTTCTTAAATCCTGGAACTACCCTTGCCTGGTATGGACAAATTTAAAATACGTCAATAATTATATGACCTTTTCTTTATATTGAATTTAATATGCAAAACAAAAATGAAATCGTTAGTGACATTTTAATCATGAAATCCTTTAAAACACCAAACGACCCATTTCGTCATTGAAGTACACTTTAACCCCTAGAAGTGTGAGTTCACGGATTGTACAATTTTGGGCAATTTTGCGTTTATTTATTTATCTCAGGTCGCGATCAAGAGCTAAAATGATTACAGTCCCTTTAAGAAAACTATTTATAAATCCTAAAAAATGTTGAAATGCTTACATATTTAAGGATTTTTGGACATTAGGAACACAAGTGTTGAATATTTAATGTTGTTTGCTGGATTTCGTAGATGATTCTTCTACGTACATTTAATTGTCCATGATATGATTGACATAACGTGCAACATTTTGAGCTAAAAATTAGTATTTCTTTTAAAACTATTTAAACCGATGTTAACAGTTAATTCCATTAAATCTTATTTAATTCACTAAAATGAAACACTACAAAATTTTTTTTCATTTTAAATAGTTTTAAGGAATTGTAAGCATAATTTCAAGTGAGGCAAAATTGCAATGTCAGATTTACAACGGTACCCTTGCAACAAATAATTGATCTTAATCTTCTATATAATAAAGCTCTTCTATAAATACATGTTAACTATAGCTGGCCAAATGGCTGAACCGAATTGGTTGACAATTTTTTCAAAATTAAAATTTTTTTTTAACTTTTTCTAAAATTCCATTGGCAACGCCGTGCACTTCATCTGGTATATAAATAAAATAAGAAAAAGATATAAAATAAGAAATAAAATAAAAGAATACCAGAAGAATACACCGTAGAAACTTTAACCAAAGAAACATAGGAGAACAGAAAACCAAAATTGATGACCTAAAAAATTAAATTAAAATGTCTACAAAAATAGGTTGGGAAGTTCCGATTAACAAAAAGTTTTTTTTTGAAAACGAACTGTTGGCAAAATTTCACTTAAAAATTGCATGCATTAATTAAAATACTCTTTTTCTTAAAAAACATAATTTCCCTCTAGTTCACAACGGTACCTTTAAAATTGGCATGTCTAGTTTACAACAGTACCTTTAAAAGCTATGTCTGATCAAAAATAAACGAGTTTTAAATGCTTTCCAGTTATTTTAGATTTAGTTACTTTTCCATCGTGGGTTTCATTTACAAAAATGGGAGAAATTATGAGAAATAAAAACTTTTCAAGAAAGAAAAACCCCGATATTTTTCACATTGTAGATAAAATGAAGATTTGAAGAGAACCGTTGTGATTAGGATCACTAGAGGGTCATATGCATTAATTTTGGATTAAATTAAATTAAATTAAATTAAATTAAATAAGTTTGAAATATAAAAGTTTTACACCTTTAAGTTGAACAGATATTGGGATTAAAAAATTTGAGTTTGTGGCAAAGGCTCAATTCCTTTGACGTCAATATTTAGGATTTTATTAAAGATTTTCTTGAGAAAGAAAATATCGAAGACGTAATTATTGAAAATCTGTAATCCGATATTTTTACTAAACTTGAAAAAGTCCAGGCTCTAACGTAAATCTAGGAAAATGTTCACTGCCAAGGATGTGTCTGTAGAAGCAGGAGTTGATTGAAAACTAAATATAAGATGAGCTTCTCTGATTATTTAAAGAAAGAATTGTTTACCTTGAAATACAGGGTGTCCCACGAAACATGAAACTTGGTGAATTTTTTAAAATGCCACGTTTTTCAGTTGTTTGATACAAAAACAGAATGATAAAAATATTAAATGGCAGACATATTATATCAAAATTGATTTCAGTATAAAATAAATTTTAGTAAAAGATTTGTTTTACGAGATAAACTGGAAAAGTCTTTAATTTCTAATATTGGAAATGAAATGGAAGAAGACATTCAAAACTATTCACAATCTGTTATGTTTCTTGAGACACCCTGTATTAAAAAACAAAATAACTAGGACAGGGCATCATTCCGGTTTTTGAATTCCAAGGTTTTTGAAACTAACGAAAAATTTAAAATCGTTAACAAACGAAAAAACATCATTCATGAAAAAAGAACGGAAAGTAAAAAATTAAACGAATGTGCTTAAAACTTTTTTCTTAATTTTTCAGCATAAAATTGCATTAAACTTAATTTCCCTCGATTTTTATATGACACATTCGTTAACAGATCGTTAACGCTGGCGCTATTATATCTTTCGTTAACGTCGTTAATAAAATTGAGTTTGTTTTGAGAGGTAAAAAACGGAAAATTCCCTTTAATAGAACGTTTAGTTCGCTAACTTAGAACGAACAGAGCGGTTTGAAAAAGAAGTGTGAAATTTTAGAAAGCATCTTAAGGAAACAAATATATTTTCTAATCAATCTTATTTAGTGATAAAAGATAAGAGTAAAAATTTAAAAATACTTAATTAAAATTTTCTTTTCAGCATTTAAAAAAAACAATTCAATTGAATTTTAAAAGGTATGTTTTAATTATATAAAGAAAATTGAAGCAAAGAATTAATTTATATTTTACTTTTAGTTTCCAGTTGTTGTATGAGTCTGTCAAATTAAACTGATTTAAATACCATTTTCACCAAGTTTATGAACTCCAATGAGAATAGTTATAATGAGTTTATCCAGGGTACAGTAATGGTTCTCCTGAAGGACGGAAGGGGTAGATTTCTAGTGACTTGTTTAAAATATTTGTCGAATATGGGGGCTGTAATAAGTTAAACTTGAAATTTTAATGCTATAAAAAAATTTGAAAAGTCAAGTATTACTAGTTTTCATAAATAGTGTATACGGTATAAGTAATTTCTTGCGTGCCAAACTACACCAAAATGGTCCCTTTTCCATGCTTTAAACCTCCCCTGACTGAATACACGTTTCTGTTTTGTTTGATGAAACCCAACTTTGTTTATGTCTCCCATTATATCTTCTTAATTACTTGTCATCTTCTTCCAACACAACGGATCTTGTTGAAGGACATGTAAGCGTAATTTGTTTGATCCAAATGTGGAAAATAGTGTAGTTTTTGTAAGTATTTGTTTCTGAAAGTTCCTTTACATTTTCTTGCAGTAGAAAGGAATTGAGTCTTTGTCAAAAATTATGATTTTCTAATCTCTATATCTTTGCAACCCAATGCCGTAGACCTTAGATATTTCAAACTATGCATTCTGTTAGATAAAAATCTAAGTTTGAAATATTAAAGGTTTACACCATCAGGTATTAGAAAATCAGAGTTTGTTACAAAGACTCAATTCCTTAGCAATTATCTTACATAGAGAATTCACAGTTCTAAAGATCAGTTTTAAAAATGATAAACATTGATATCTTATTCACACTTGACCAGAAAAAGCTTTTAAGGGCATTGTTGTGAATCGGGTATTGCCATTTCGCATGGAGGGTCACTAAAAATTACGCAATTACATGTTCCTTAAATTTCAAATTACATTTCATTTGAAAAGAGGCCATTCCGATTCACAACTGTACCTGGCATTAAAACCTTGGACTGAACAAAAATGGTAAAAATATCTTTGTTTTTCTATCTTAAAATTAATAGTTTGTAATCGTGGTTTCTTTATAGAAAGTTTCTTGCGGATTTTTATGCAGTAGAGACAACGAACTTATTTTACATAGTTCAACAATATTAAATGTATAATTTAATATGACCTTTTTGCTCATTATAATTCTAATTATTGCCGTATATAAAACATTCCTCCCACACAGAGTTAGATATATAGAATATGGACAAATCATGAATCACCGACTCAAGATTATACGTGGTTGAACCGTCTCTAGACCTAGCTCAAAGTCATAAAGTCGGACCCAGATATCTTAAAAATGGCTTTATTTTGTTAATACTTGACGGTTGATTAATAGCAATGGCGGCAAGATATAAAATAGTTTTTTTTTTACTTTTAGTTAACAAAAATACATTTTCCCAATATCAAGAGCTGACATGAGAAATACTTCAATCCATTTGTATCAACCTAAAAAGGAAATAAAATGAGAAAAGAATTACGTTTGAAGAATTTATAATGTTAAGATCTTTAAGCAATACAAATTTTTAGTCGGTTTTTTACAATACTTTTTTGTAATGCACTTTCCTATCGTACTTTATTGTACTGTACTGTTTTGTTATGTACTGTTTTGTACTGTACTGTTTTGTACTCAACTGTTTTGTATTGTTCTGTTTTTTACTGTATTCTTTTGTGTTGTACTGCTTTGTACTATAGCTGCTTTGTACTGCTTTGTACTATAGCTGCTTTGTACTGCTTTGTACTGTAGCTGCTTTGTACTGCTTTGTACTATAGCCGCTTTGTACTGGTTTGTACTATAGCTGCTTTGTACTACTTTGTACTATAGCTGCTTTGTACTGCTTTGTACTATAGCTGTTTTGTACTGCTTTGTACTATAGCTGCTTTGTACTGCATTTTACTATAGCTGGTTTGTACTGCTTTGTACAATAGCTGCTTTGTACTGCTTTGTACTATAGCTGCTTTGTACTGCTTTTTACTACAGCTATGTTGTACTGCTTTGTACTAAAGCTGCTTTGCACTGCTTTGTACTATAGCTGCTTTTTACTGCTTTGTACTATAGCTGTTTTCTACTGCTTTTTACTATAGCTACGTTGTACTGCTTTGTACTATAGCTGCTTTGTACTGCTTTGTACTATAGCTGCTTTGTACTATAGCTGCTTTGTATTATAACTGCTTTGTACTGTTTTGTACTATAGCTGCTTTGTACTGCTTTGTACTATAGCTACTTTGTACTGCTAAGTACTATAGCTGCGTTGAACTGCTTTGTACTATAGCTGATTTTTACTGCTTTGTACTATAGCTGCTTTGTACTGCTTTGTACTATAGCTGCTTTGTACTGATTTGTACCATAGCTGCTTTGTACTGCTTTTTACTGCTTTGAGCTGTACTATCCTGTAGGAACCTTTCTTGAAGCTGTTAAGAATAATAAACCGTGAACAACTTACGGAAAGGTATTTGTAACAAACTCTAATTTTCTATAAATATCTATATTTTTTCCACCTGATGGTGTAAACCTTTGATATTTCAAACTTAGATTCTTTCATCTAACAGAATTTATAGTTTGAAATATCTAAAGTCTACGGCATTGGGTTACAAAGATATAGAGATTAGAAAGTCATAGTTTGTGACAAAGACTCAATTCCTTTAGGGCCTTGAGCGTAACTTTGTAGGGGTTCCATTTATTTTTTAAAGGATAAGAAAAGTTTCGCTCATAACTTTTCAAAGTGTTACTGGTTTATATGCTTTCAGGTCACACTGTATACATATGTATTGTATAGTGTATAAAATAAACCTTTCCCCCCTTTAATAACAATCTTTAGAACTGTGTAAACATATCGCAGAAAGGAGCTTTTCCTAGGTTTCTATGTTTTTAAAAAGAAATAGGATACTTTTAAGCCAGTGGGCAAAAGAATTTAAAAACTGACCTTTTTTCAGTAATTCCTGCTTAAAACAATAAAAACCTTCCCCCCACTTTTTGTATCCGAAACACAGCAAAGCTAATCTTAGTCTTGCTCAAGGTACTAATGCAAGGAAAATTAATTGCGGTCGCGTATACTCTGCGTACATAATGAAACCAGTTCTCTCTGGGCAGAATTTGTAAACAAGAATAGATGCATCAGTGTTCGTCTAATATCCGAGGAGGATAAAAGAAATAAATTTTTATAATTTTGAAAATTCACATAATAGTTTCCTATGACCAGAATATTTCATAGATTATTTTTGTGAAAATTGATTCCATGTCAGGCTGTGGAATCCGTCTTGTGTTTACTTTTTCGCCCAAAGATAGTAAACTGAAGTACGTAAAATTCGCACACCTCTGCAATAACTTTCCTTGCATTAGTACCTTAATCTTGCTAAAGATTTTAAAAAAAGTTTGCGTCAAGTGCTCAACGCCTTTGCAATTACGTACATAATATTGGAGTTTATTCTATAATAGTGTAAATAATGAAAGGGACTGTAGGTGTAGTTTAAAGTGACTCTCCGTTTGTAAAGTCGCATGTCCGATTCACAACAGTACCCTTAAAAGCTTTGTCAGATCAAGAATACATAAAATATTAATCAACCTTTTTATAAAATTCGATTATTTTCAATTTAGATTTTTCTATTAAGTGACTATTATTGATCAGATAAAGGTTTCAAGGTTACTGTTGTAGTTTTGTAGACATCTTTGCATGGAGTCACTTGAAATTACGCTTACAGTCCCTTTAACAAATTTTTAAGATAAAGGGAGAAATATATTTTCCACAATTCCACAATCGGATTAAGGTTTAAAGGGTATCGTTGTTAATCTGACAACCCATCTTAAAGTGAAGGTTTTTTTTCAACTTCGAGGATTTAGTTTATAGAGTGATGATGTACGCTAATCCTTTACTAATTGTACAGGCCATGTACTTCACTTCCAAAGGTCAATCTGTTTATTACAGTACTCGGGGATGATTTCTGAAAATATTTAAATGGAGAATTTGTTTTCATGTAACCATTAAAATCCAATACTCCTTTATCGTGTGCAGGATTCCATTTTCACAAAGGAGACTATATAAAGATAGAGAGAGAACGATATTTTCCTTATTATTCACAGATTAAGGTTTAAAGGGTATCGTTATGAATCTGACAACCCATCTTAAAGTGAAGGTTTTTTTTTTAAAAAACGACATTAATCTAAATATATTAATATTTATTTAGGCCGGTCAGATAGCAGAGCTGCCATGCATTGTCAGACAATTGGGATCTAAACTGGTAAATATATCTAGATCTTGTTCTAGATCTTGTTCTAGATCTAGTTCTAGATCTTGTTCTAGATCTTGTTCTTTTTGTTCTAGATCTTGTTCTAGATCTTGTTCTAGATCTTGTTCTAGATCTTGTTATAGATCCTGTTCTAGATCTTGTTCTAGATCTTGTTCTAGATCTTGTTCTAGATTTTGTTCTAGATCTTGTTCTAGATCTTGTTCTAGATCTTGTTCTAGATCTTGTTATAGATCCTGTTCTAGATCTTGTTCTAGATCTTGTTCTAGATCTTGTTCAGATCTTGTTCTAGATCTTGTTCTAGATCTTGTTCTAGATCTTGTTCTAGATCTTGTTCTAAATGTTGTTCTAGATCTTGTTCTAGATCTTATCTAGATCTTGTTCTAGATCTTGTATAGATCTTGTTCTAGATCTTGTTCTAGATCTTGTTCTAGATCTTGTTCTAGATCTTGTTCTAGATCTTGTTCAGATCTTGTTCTAGATCCTGTTCTAGATCTTGTTCAAGATCTTGTTCTAGATCTTGTTCTAAATCTTGTTCTAGATCTTGTTCTAAATGTTGTTCTAGATCTTGTTCTAGATCTTGTTCTAGATCTTGTTCTAGATCTTGTTTTAGATCTTGTTCTAGATCTGGTTCTAGATCTTGTTCTAAATCTTGTTCTAATCTTGTTAATTTTCTTAAATAGTGAATCATCTTCTCATTTTCTCTCTTTTTAGTGCACAAAATAGCACATCTAGTAGCCGTATGCACATTTATGGAATTTTAATCTTGTTTATCTGCACAGAAAACTTTTACAAAAGTAAAACAAATTGCAAGTTTTAGAACTTTCAAATTTTCATGAAATTTCTCATTGTTACTAGATGTCGGATAACTTTTCAAAAGACAATGATGATACGGATTTTCTTTGTTGTATCAATGTCTTGTTTTTATCACCTGCTTACTCATGGACCCCCCCCCNTCAAGTACCTGGACCCTCAGTATAGAGTAGGTTTTATTATTCCAAACCCTACTCAAGTACCTGGACCCTCAGTATAGAGTAGGTTTTATTATTCCAAACCCTACTCAAGTACCTGGACCCTCAGTATAGAGTAGGTTTTATTATTCCAAACCCTACTCAAGTACCTGGACCCTCAGTATAGAGTAGGTTTTATTATTCCAAACCCTACTCAGGTATCTGGACCCTCAGTATAGAGTAGGTTTTATTATTCCAAACCCTACTCAAGTACCTAGACCCTCAGTATAGAGTAGGTTTTATTATTCCGAACCCTTCTCAAATGACAAAAGTGATGAACCGATCTAACCTATTTTTTTTTGTGGCAACTTGGCAAGGTGTATCAAGGTGTATCAAGGTGTATCAAGGTGTATCAAGGTGTATCAAGGTGTATCAAGGTGTATCATGGTGTATCAAGGTGTATCAAGGTGTATCAAGGTGTATCAAGGTGTATCAAGGTGTATCATGGTGTATCAAGGTGTATCAAGGTGTGTCAAGGGGTATCAAGGTGCATCAAGGTGCATCAAGGTGCATCAAGGTGTATCAAGGTGTATCAAGGTGTATCAAGATGTATCAAAGGTGTTTCAAGGTGTATCAAAGTGTACCAAGGTGTATTCTATTCCGAGCCGTTTTATTCTACCTCAATTTAGTCAATGCCCTAATTGCATTACGGAATGCGTTCATAACTATTTGAAAAAATAAATGGCAAAAAATAATACTGCGAAATTGAGCAAAAAAGAAGGAGCTATACAGAGTTGAAATAAGTTTTAATCACGGAAGAGGTTCTGCTGCATGACAATACGTTTTATTTGTGTTTTATTTTATTAAAATTTTATGGTATCACAATTTAGAAGATACCACAGAAGACCATTTGAAAAAATCTAATAATTGTTAAAAACAAATCATTTGTTGGATCTAAATCTCCAAGTTCAAACGTAAGTATAAATGTTTTAGAACTTTAGACTAAATACCTATTATCTAACCTCCTTGGTACAGAACCTATAATATCATGAAATATCACGAATTTTTTATTTTGAAATGATTGTCAGGTAGTTATAAAATAGTCTGAAGATTATTTTTAAGTTTCGAGAGCTTTGTATTTCCGAAATGGAACAATCTCAATTTTTGCTCATCATTACCAGAGATATGCACAGTATTTTTTCAAGTTTTCTAAAAAAGCACAAACATTTTTAGGTTCACATTTTTGTTTTATTTTTAAGTTTTAAAATGAGATGGTTTTTTCGTTTTGTTTTGAAGTTTTGAGATGGTAAGCGGTGCAACTAACATGTTACACAGTGACCAATAGAATTATGAAAAAAAAGAGGGAATCGATTGTGAGACACAAAAGTGGGACTTAAAAAGTCAAACTTATCGAACATTCAACAGTTGTGCAGTTTTCACAGACCTATTTCAAGCTTGATATTTGCTTTATGACAACATCGAATTCACATCAGATTGCGACAAAATTGTCTTACTCTTCCACAATTTTGTATATATTTTTATATGAAACACTTAGATATATCTTGCCAGCCTACATTTCTTGCATAAAACGTGCTGAGTCAGCTGTACACTGGTAGTCTAGACTGGTCGGTACGGATGAATTCATATTCAGTACAACTAAATGCACTAGACCTGTATATCCTTGTACCGGTTTGTATCATGCAACAATTGGAGCCATGTTATGTATAGAAGCACTATATGTATATTTGTAAAGTTTGAATTCTAATTTCTATTTTGTTTGTTGAACTGTTTAATTGTTTAGTTTTGAAATACAAACAGAAGAACAGGAAGAGCTCTATATTCTACTGTTTAATAATAAATCAAGTTTAGAATCCATAGTTCAACACATTTACAGATTATACAGTATACATAGTTCAACACATTTACAGATTATACAATATACATAGTTCAACACATTTACAGATTATACAATATACATAGTTCAACACATTTACAGATTATACAATATACATAGTTCAACACATTTAGAGATTATACAATATGCATAGTTCAACACATTTACAGATTATACAGTATACATAGTTCAACACATTTACTGATTATACAGTATACATAGTTCAACACATTTACTGATTATACAGTATACATATTTCAACACATTCACAGATTATACAATATACATAGTTCAACACATTTACAGATTATACAATATACATAGAGTAAATAAAGAACAATATATTAGAGTTTTCATTTTGTTCTTGTGTGGTACTTAAACCTAGCCAAGATCAAACCTCAACACTTTTAACAATTTATCTTTCAAGGTGTAGATTGTATACCCAACATAAATGTGGTAGGTGGGAAGGTACCTAAATGCATAACTAGCACATTTAAAGATACTAATACTATTGTATATTTTATTTTAAATGATAAAAAACATTGGCGAATATAAAGTTTATGTGGTACGCGGGACTGCTCTAGGTTCTCCAACTCCTTGTATAAATGATATTTAGATAATCTTCCGCGTTTAAGCTCAGTTCCTGCTTAAGTACGAACTTTATTAAACTTGGTTCATACAATTTGTGTAAAAGTACTCCTAGACGTCTGTTTCACTTCATACTGTTTAATTTCTTAGAACATGACAACCTTGGGCACTTGAAGGCTAGTTTAATAACATGCCATTTTATAGATACTTTATAATTATGGTCTTTAGTCACTTTATACACTTCTATTCTACGAGTCAGGGGGCGTTAAATTGATTTTTAATCTATAGAAGCTTGTTTATTTCACCCAAAACAGATGAAAGACGACTGTACAGAATTGATTCAGTAGTTTATCTAGCCTAGCATTATCATGGTTTCCTGCAGCTCTGATCATCAAATCGGTATATAACACGTATATAGTTTTAGGTCGTGGGTAACTCTGTGTTTGTTTTAGGAAAAAACTTAAAACTGTCGAACCTATTTGTTATGGCTGTGTGCTTACTTTTAATATTTTAGATTTGATTCAACTAAAAAAAAGTATTTTAGTTAGTAAAAATAAGTAGTATTAGATATATTAAAGTCAAGTTTTAATCATCAAAGGTTTACACCATCAGGTTTCAAAGATATAGGAATGATACATTTTGAGTTTGTGGCAAGAACTCAGTTTTTTAGGGGGGGGGGGGGCCTCTAGCTTACACTTACTTTCATATTTTTTGATATTAACCTTTACAGAATTCGAAAACAAACAGCTGATCTGTTTTTACAAGTTTCAGAAACTCATATTTCATTCTTAATTATTATTTATTATAAATATTTTCATAACAGATTTCATATTCCACACTTTTAAGGGAAAACCTGAGGAATGAAATCTATAGATTATCTCTGAGATTTGATATCAAAACTTGGGGTTTGAAAACAATTCACAGAGATAAAGAATAAAGACAGTTATGAAAAGTGTGCATCAAGTTTTTACTAGATTTTATATGACTAACTCACCTATACATTTTTAAGACCTAAAAATAGGCATGTACATTGTACAATTTAGATTAAAACAAACTTGCTTCTAGCTTCAGTTTAAAATAAGTAAAATGGGGAAATTACTCAATTCCGTTAAATAAAGTATTTTGAGAAAAATATTTTAAACATCCTACAAAAGCTTAATTTTTTCTATTCTTCATCATAGCTTAATGTTGATATTTTTAAAACATCTTTACAAAACTGGTTTTCATGCTTTTAAAAAAAAGAAATTTGATGTTTTTCGACATTTGTCTAATAAACTAATACTTAGTAAGTAAATTGAAATCTTTTGCTCTCGCCAAATGATAAAAAGTTATCTTTAGATAAATTTTTCTACTCTTGCAATCTGTTTCTTTAATATATTTTGTCACAAGAAAGTATGCAATCTGTTCCTTTAATATATTTTATCACAAGAAAGTATGTAATCTGTTCCTTTAATATATTTTGTCACAAGAAAGTATGCAATCTGTTCCTTTAATATATTTTGTCACAAGAAAGTATGCAATCTGTTTCTTTAATATATTTTGAGAAAAGAAAGTATGCAATCTGTTTCTTTAATACATTTTATCACAAGAAAGTATGTAATCTGTTCCTTTAAAACATTTAGTATGCAATCTTTTCCTTTAATACATTTTGTCACAAGAAAGTATGGAATCTGTTCCTTCAGTATATTTTGTCACAAGAAAGTATGTAATCTGTTCTTTAATATATTTTGAGATAAGAAAGTATGTAATCTGTTCCTTTAACACATTTAGTATGCAATCTGTTCCTTTAATATATTTTGTCGCAAGAAAGTATGGAATCTGTTCCTTTAATATATTTTATGACAAGAAAGTATGCAATCAGTTCCTTTAATATATGTTGTCACAAGAAAGTATGTAATCTGTTCCTTTAATATATTTTGTCACAAGAAAGTATGGAATCTGTTCCTTTAATATATTTTGTGACAAGAAAGTATGCAATCTGTTTCTTTAATATATTTTGTCACAAGAAAGTATGACCGATGCTGATTTGCTCTGAACCCTTCCATCCATTTCCTGGTCCTAAGTTCAATTTCCTGAAAATCTGAAGAATTGAACACTTTTCCATTCACTCTTACAACCAATTCAAACCTTATCTTAGCTCGACTAAGACTTATTCTATCGTATCTGAGTCCAAATTTAATGAATTTGAGCCGCGTCTCAAATCTGCCAAAAACCGGTTTCAATTGAGCGCCGGCTAAATATTGAAATATTGAATACAATTTTAAGCGGAACCAATCATATTTGAGCCGCGTTTCAAATTTAAGCCGAATTCTTTAAATTCGGCCTCTGATTAATTTATTTTTCATTTCATAAATATATAAAAAACACTAATTAATTAATTAATTAAGTATCCTGAAGATTGCGAAAGCATGAAACAACCTGTACAAACGATACAATAAATCTTGAAATAGTTGTTTATAAAATCTTAAAATACATACACATAAAATGCACATAAACGTACAACAAACTTTCAATACCTGCAATGGTGTGCTCATTTACAATAAACATTCTGTTGTTTAACCCTGTTCCGACTGGAATGCCTTATTTTACCTTTAATCTACTTCCGGTCATTGGATTTTGACTTCTTATAGCTCTTTGGAAAGCCTTGAACAAAAGAAAGCAGATTGCCCTATTTTTGCGAAGAAATTTTGCATATTTATGTTGCATATTTGAATTCGCCGTGGTAAGGGCTTTTCAAAAACTTACAATTTATCAAATTTTGCGCACTTTTTGTTTTCTGCACATTTTTTTTGCTTAAAATTGCAATAAATACTTGAAACATTTAAAATAAGGAAATAGACGTCTAGTTTACCTTGACTATTTTGGGTAAATCAGACGTCAGCCTGAATAGGATTACTGTTAAATGTTTTTTCCTGTTTGGTATCTAGGGTTTTCCTGGTTCAAATGTTCTCCTGAGTGTTTTCCAGGTTCTAGTGTTCTACAGGTTCTAGTGTTCTCCATGTTCTAGTTTTTTCCAAGTTCTAGTGTTCTCCTGGTTCTAGTGTTCTCCTGGTTCTAGTGTTCTCCTGGTTCTAGTGTTCTCCTAGTTCTAGTGTTCTCCAGGTTCTAATTTTCTCCAGGCTCTAGTGTTCTCCATGGTTTTAGTTTTCTACGATTCTAGTTTTCTCCAGGTTGTGTGTTCCGTTAGTTCTAGTGTTCTCCTAGTTCAAGTATTCTCCAGGTTCTAGAATTCTCCTGGTTCTAGTGTTCTCCAGATTCTAGTGTTCTCCAGGTTCTAGTTTTCTCCGGGTTCCAGCGTTCTCCTGGTTCTAGTGTTCTCCTGGTTCTAGTGTTCTCCTGGTTCTAGTGTTCTCCTGGTTATAGTGTTCTCTTGTTTTTAGTGTTCTCCAGGTTCCAGTGGTCTCCAGGTTGTAATGTTCTCTTGTTTATAATGTTCTCCTGGTTTTAGTGTTATCCAAGTTCTTGTGTTCTCCAGGTAACTGGTTTTCTCCAGTTTCAAGTATTCTCCTAGTTCTGTAGTCTCTAGTTCTAGTGTTCTCTAGGTTCTAGTGTTCTCCCAGTTCTAGTGTTCTCCTAGTTCTAGAATTCTCCAGGTTTTAGTATTCTCCAGGTTCTAGTGTTCTCCCAGTTCTAGTGTCTCCTAGTTCTAGTTTTTTCCAGGTTCTATTGTTCTCCAGGTTCTACTGTTCTCCAGGTTCTACTGTTCTCCAGGTTCTACTGTTCTTCAGCTTCTACTGTTCTCCAGGTTCTAGTGTTGTCCGGGTTCTAGCGTTCTCCTGGTTCCAGAGTTCTCCAGGTTCTAGTGCTTTCCAGGTTCTAGTATTATCCAGGTTCTAGTATTATCCAGGCTCTAGTATTATCCAGGTTCTAGTATTATCCAGGTTCTAGTATTATCCAGGTTCTAGTATTATCCAGGTTCTAGTATTATCCAGGCTCTAGTATTATCCAGGTTCTAGTATTATCCAGGTTCTAGTATTATCCAGGTTCTGGTATTATCCAGGTTCTAGTGGTCTCCGGGTTCTAAGTTTCTGCAGTTTTTTGTTGTATCAAGGTTTAGGGTTTGATATAAAAACACTTTCTGGTTTTATATAAACTTATTTCCTTTTTCTCAGGTTTAGGTTTTATACCATGATATCTATACGATATATGTAACATGTATACCTATATATAGAATAGTATAGAATAGAATAGTATAGTATATAGGTAAGAAAATGGAGTATATATGTAGTAAATACCATACTCTTAAAACTTCGTCCTAAACTGTATCAGTACAGGTACAACCCGTCCTCTATCAAAGTCAAACAGGACACGATCAACGCAACTACCAATGGGAGCGATCAAGTTAGATATCGGTGCCAATATACAGACACTAACTATTAATCTAGCTCTAAATGCAACACAGGGACACAAGCGTAGCTATCAAACAAGCTATAAATCGAGCTCTAAATGCCACACAGGGACACAAGCGTAGCTATCAAACAAGTTCTTAATGGATCTGTACCAAGTACCGAGGTACGTTATTAGCCGTATGTTTCAACGAGGACACGATTACTCTACAGTCTACACTGTAATCAAAGCGGAGTTTCTATATTAACTCATGTATTTGAGGTTTGTTTCTTACAAGTTAAAGTTAATAGACGTAATTACGATTCCTATGTCGTTATCTATATCACATTATTAAGCTAACCATGCTACGTTCATTTGAAACGCAGTTTTAATGAATAATGGTTTTTATGTAGAAGTTTACAACATAGATCATTAATAATGTACATACGTACTGCACATTTACAGAATATCGTGTTACCCGATATTTATTACATAAATATATATGTATATATATCTAGGGGAATTAAAGGGAAAGATAGTGGAGTATATATAATATATATATAATATATGGATTGAGCAGGATAGCGGAGTATATATATATATATTTAGTGGATTGAGAGGGCAGGATAGCGGAGTATATATATATTTAGTGGAGTGAGAGGTCAGGATAGAGGAGTATATATATATCTCTCGTGGAGTGAGAGGGCAGGATAGCGGAGTATATATATATATATCTAGTGGAGTGAGAGGGCAGGATAGCGGAGTATATATATATTTAGTGGAGTGAAAGGTCTGTATATATATATATATATATATATCTAGTGGAGTGAGAGGGCAGGCTAGCGGAGTATTTAAATATCTAGTGGAGTGAAAGGTCAGGATAGAGGAGTATATATATATATCTAGTGGAGTGAGAGGGCAGGATAGCGGACTATACGAATGCCAAGTGAGCTCGGAGCCGAAACTGAGCAAATTTATTCTGCTGAACATCAAAGGTAAAAGTTTAATATATAAATGTTATAACATTAATTCATGCTAACATCAGAAATCTAAGTTAAAATGGATTTAAATATTTTAAGTGCAGAGAAGTTTTTTTCAAACTTTTAAAATTTGATTTAGTTCCACTTCTGCAGATAGAGGGAGCACCAAAGAAGCTAGCTAAGGTATTTTATGAACAATTGTTAAATGTTTGCTGATTGGAAATATCACTGTTGGGTTTTAAAACTTTTCAGGTTTTTGGAATTTATTTTGAGAAATACACAGAGCATTTGAGACTTTGCTTCATACTCAAATTTTCTAATTCTTTATATATCTGTCCAACCTGATGATGCAAACATTTAATATGTCAATCTTAGATTATTTGATCTATCAGAATTCATCGAAGGTCTACGACATTGGGTTGCAAAGATATATGGATTAAAATCAGAGTTTGTGGCTAAGAATAAATTCGCTAAAAGGACAAAACAATTTTACCTCATGTATTTCTATTAAGATAATTATTTTTTCATATTTTAATAAAAACAAACTTTTGCAGAATACTTGAAATGTTGTAACCTTCACATGTTTGGTGATTTTAAAATGTCCTTAAACCTTAAATTCATCAGAATTAGAGATTAAAATAATATATCATCATCTTTTTCTTAAACATGTCGTATTCTGACTGTTTTCCTTAATGTCTCTGCAGCTTAAATCCACCATTGAAAATTGTCAATTTTTATTCTTAATCAGAAAAAGGTTGAAAGGGTATACTGTTGTCGTCAGTTGGGATTGCATGTCTCTAAATAAATATATTACTCTGTCACGTCAGAAAATATAGTTTAAAAAGAAAATTAAAGTTAAACTAAAATCTGAGTACATTATTAATTGCGCAAGAAAATCAATTATTACACAGTTTTTAAAAAATATGTACTTTAGTCGGAACTGAGTGTTATTAATCTTGAACGCTTAATATCGATCGTTTTTAAATGCGCTTAATTTTTTCGTGGAATAAAATTTAACGATTTCAGCCAATCAATTCTTTTGATAATTTTATTAATTTTGAAAAGAAACTGTAGTCTCATTTTCGAGCTAAAATTTCACTTGGAATTTTTTTTTATAAAATTCCATTAAATCTGCGCAATAGTAATTCTAAAAAAGAAATATAATTTATACTTCAGTATAACGAATCTAATTAGGAAAATTTTCTTAACAATTACAATTGAAAAAGTTCATTATCTTTAATTCTCCATTAGTTGAGTTTAAGTTGAATTAAAACTTAATGAATGTGCGGGAATTCTGAATTTGTTTCATCTATAAAGACGCATTGAATCTGAATAAAGATAAAAGGACAGCTCTTTTCTAAATCTATATAAATTTGGCTTGTCTGTCTGTCTGTCTGTTTGTCTGTTTGTTTGTTTGTTTGTATCCAATAAACGTCAAAACGGCTGAACCGATCGGGCCCAAATTTTTTGTGGGACATCTAGGAACCCCAGGGAAGGTTTATGAATCATCAAAATTTCAAATATTTGTCTCCATCAAAATTCGATCGTCATTAAATTTTTAAAAATTTTGAAAATCCGCGAAATTTTTTGTGAAAATCCGCTAATTATTTTTGTTTTGTTTTACGATGTACACAAAGAGAACATGTTCACAATTCATTTAGGAGATGGGCGCGAAGCGCTCTCTAAGGCTAGAAAGAAGGGCGCGAAGCGCCTTGAATTTCTAGTAATATAGAATTTATTAGAAACCTGGGGACTGTAGATTTGAAATTGATTAAAGGGACTGTAGGTGGAGGTAGATTTTAAATTGATTATAGGGACTGTAGGCGTAGGTAGATACTTTCTAGAATAAATAAAAATATTTTCTTTTGAATTTTGTCAACACATAACAGCTTTCAACGTAAAACATAACATTCGGAAAGGAATTGATTTTTGGCCATAAACTCTGATTTTCTAATTCCAATATCTTTACAATCCAATCTCGTAAACCTTAGATATTTCAAACTTTGAATTCTGTTAGGCAAAATATTCTCAGTTTGAAATATTAAAGGGTTAAACCATTCGGTTGCACAGATCAAGGGATTCGAAAATTTGAGTTTGCGGCAAAAATGCAATTCCTTCTAAGAGACACAAGAAGCGAATCAGCTGTGTTAAGTTCATGGTGTACTCAGCGTACACCGGCTTGTACAGAAAATCAAGCGGTTTTCAAGAGATTCACAATAGGAGATCGCATTCGCAGCGTTGTAAACCGGTTTTTACCTCTGGCATGAAGAGACGCTTACAATGAAGCATACAGTCCTGTTATCAAGAATGTAATGCAAGGAAAGTTAATTGCAGTTGCGTATACTCTGCGTACATATTGAAACCAGTTCTCTTTGGGCGGAATTTGTAAACAAGAATAGATGCATCAGTGTTCATTTATTATCCGAGGAGGTTAAAAGCATTGAATTTTTTTTATAATTTTGATAATTCACATAATAGTTTCCTATGACCAGAATATTTCATTGATTATTTATGTGAAAGATGAATCCCATGTCAGGCTTCAACATCCGTCTTGTGTGTACATTACCGCCCAATGACAGTACACTGCAGTACAAAAGATGCGTACACCTCTGAAATAACTTTGCTTGCATTAAATCCTTGCCTGTTATATTCTCGCGTATAAAGTATCCCAAAATAATTACACATCTTCTAATCTTTAATATAATAATATTCTAGCGTGGTAGTGAAGTTGTGTTACAGTGTGCAGTGAAGAACTCAAAAATACAGAGAACATTGCAATGGTAAGTATAGGGAATGGGGGAAGGGGAAGAAGGGGGTTTTTCCCCTCCTTTCCCTTACTTTCCTCCTCCTTTTCCCTTCCTTTCCCTTACTTTCCTCCTCCTTTTCCCCTCCTTTCCCTTACTTTCCTCCTCATTTTCCCTTCCTTTCCCTTACTTTCCTTCTCCTTTTCCCCTCCTTTCCCTTACTTTCCCCTTCCTTTTCCCCCCTTACCTTACTTTCCCATCCTTTTCCCCTCCTTTCCCTTACTCTCCTCCTCCTTTTCCCCTCCTTTCCCTTACTCTCCTCCTCCTTTTCCCCTCCTTTCCCTTACTTTCCTCCTCCTTTTCCCCTACTTTCCCTTACTTTCCCCTTCCTTTTCCCTCCATTTCTACTCTACATCTTTTTATCCATTTCTAAAAAAAATTAAGTCCTTTTTAAAAATAAGACCATGCACAAATTGATAAGTGTCTCTAGTGCTACAATATGAAATCCATAAAATGATAAGAAAGACGACTGCTATACTGAAGTTAAGATTTAAAATCGTTTTGTGAACCTCGAAGTAAAGATAACGTCTGTTATTTCTTAGTGCACTCTATTCTGAAAAATGCAGATCTTTAACTGTTTTGTTAAAAACAAAGCAACATTTGTAAATCTGCAAGTTTTATACAATTTTGCATGTTATTGCAAACATTTTGCAATGCGAGGAAAACTTTTGCAAAGTTTTCGCTACTAGGTAGCAAGGACAAGCAGGCCTTGTAATTAGCAACAAAATTGGCAGAGAAATCTATATAGCTACATATGGAAATATTTCATGAGCTGTGGATGAAGTTGACTTTAAAGTGTTGTCGTGTCAACCTTTTACACTCGTTTAAAGGGTCTTTTTAAGCTGCAAACCGTTTGGTTCTGACTCTTTAGAATTGAAATGTAAATGGAAAAATTTTATGCATTATTTTTAATATGACTTATTTTTAGATTTCCAAATATCTTCTTTTTTCTCCATCAATGTTCTAGTTAGAATTGTAGGGAACTAAATGGTTGGGTAACATTTGGTAAAATTTCAAATTTACTAAATAAGTATTTTTCATTTAAATTCTGTGCGGGAGTCCATTTGTAAACAAACATTGTAAAGACTCTAAAGAGACAGAGAGAGAGAGAGAGAGAGAGAGAGAGAGAGAGAGATAGGAAAACAGAAATTGTTAATTAAACCTAAAAAAAACCTGTACCTTGTACACTTTACAGGGCATCAGAGCGTCTGTCAATTTTATGACGATGACAAGTAAATAAAAATGGTGTTAAGCTCAAAAGCAGACATTTGAATTCTTATCAATTTTTACGAGGTTGTGCAACCAAAGTTCTTAACTTTTGGATCGAATACCCTATAGACACATCTATTCAACCATCAGGAACCGACTTCGCGCAATATTTGATTCAAAAGTTTTGACCTTTAAATATCTAGTTTTATATTTAGATAATATAAGTACAACTATGCTACGTCTTAGCATTATATTTTAAATATCTAGTTTTATATTTAGATAATATAAGTACAACTAAAGCTACGTCTTAGCATTGAGATATTTTAAAACCTCGTTTAGAAATTGAAAAAAGAAAGTAAATCCATTATTTACTAAGTCTAAGGGATTAGCATACAGAGTAAAATAGTTAAAAACTCGAGAAAAAAAACTTTAAAAGAAAAGATTTTAAAAATAAACTTGTTTTCAAACAATTTACTCCTTTTCAATTTAACTTTTAAAGTTGGAAGTTTTAGAAAAAGTATTAAAAATATTCAGAGGTTAAAGTTTCAATCAATTTTCTCCGCTTACCTATACTGTTTACTCCACTTAAGTATGGCAAGTTATACTTAAGTTAGGCTTTCTTTTTTTCCTTGGAATTTTTAGTAAGAAATATTTTTTGTAATGTTTCATCGTCTGATGTAGAATTACCTATTCTGAATATTTCTTATACAAATGTAGTACAGTCTGCAAAGCATGCATAATCATATTGTAGGGTAGGCCGCGTCAGTTGATCTATTTCATTCTCCTTGGTGATAAATTTCAGCTTCTATAAATCCTAATTTAGTTTCCTGAGGGTTATTTTCAAACTTAAATATGACACAAAGTATTGTATAATGTCCCTGCGGAACTATATTTTCTACCAGGCCACTTCATATTTTCAAATATTTTACTTCCTCTTATCTTACATTCTACATCTTACATTAAACAACATAATTTATTCGGAAAAGGTTAAACTTCCACTGTAAATTGACACATATAGCTACGATTTTGTAATACTACATCTTTGCAACACAATGTTGTAGACCTTAGATATTTTAAATTATAAATTCAGATATAGATTAAAAAATATAGTTTGATTACTCACCTCAAACTTAACTTTTAATAATTCTTTTATCTTTTTAAAACCTGATGTTATGGACCTTTAGTATTTAAAAACACACAGTTTTTTGGATCAAAAAATTGAGTTTGAATTATCAAATGTTTACACCATCAGGTTGAAAAGATAAATGGATTGGAAAAATGGCGAGTAATCAGTTTCTTTAAAAAAATCCAAAACAAGTTTTTGAAATCAAAACATTACTATCATGAGCACAAGATTTTATCAGGGCATAACAAACTTATATGATCAATGTTCAAAAAATAATTCAAACCATATTTTCATTTTATTTTATCTACGATCTAGGTCCTTGCAGAAAGAAGGGAAAGGATTGGAACTTCTAAACTCCAAAACAATAAACCAGTCCTTAAAGAATAATACAGGTAAATATATATTTTTTTATATATATTTTATATATATAAATATTGTCAACTGTCAACCATAATGTGTAATACATAACTTTTGTTTTATTTATGTAATGTACGGTGTGTACTTCATTGTACAATGTACATGTTATGTAATAAGTATAGTGGAAAATAATCAAACCTGAAGTAAAATGTGAAAGCATATAACGTGCGAAAACATTTTTCTCCGTAAAGAGAGCCTTATGTATCTAGGTATCTACAGAGTACAATCTATGGATGAAAATATATATTTATGTATCTAGGTATCTACAGAGTACAACCTATGAATTAAAATGATATATTTATGTATTTAGGTATCTACAGAGTACAATCTATGGAAGAAAATGATATATTTATGTATCTAGGTATCTACAGAGTACAATCTATGGATGAAAATGATATATTTATGGATCTATGTATCTACAGAGTACTATCTATGGATGACAATGATATATTTATGTATCTAAGTATCTACAGAGTACAATCTATGGATGAAAATGATATATTTATGTATCTAGGTATCTACATCTATGGATGAAAATGATATATTTATGTATCTAGGTATCTACAGAGTACAATCTATGGATAAAAATGATATATTTATGTATCTAGGTATCTACAGAGTGCTATCTATGGGTGAAAATGATTTATTTATGTATCTAGGTATCTACAGAGTACAATCTATGGATGAAAATGATGTAGGATTATATACCTGTATGTCAGAAAACCTGAATCCTGTATCAGTTCAGCTTCTTCTACTACCAGGTAAACCTCAAGAGCCGCAATTAAGGCCTGATTTAACATATATTTGATATTTCAAAGTTAGATTACTTGATCTAAAGAATTCATAGTTTGAAATATTTAAGGTCAGACCACATTGGGGAATTTATAGCAAAGACTCAATTCCTGTTGAATTCTAAATTCGAACAGTCTGTTTTTCCCACCTAAAAAATAGTGATTTAGACTATTCATAAATCACAATTGATTCTTTTTGATCCAAATTTTTTTTATTTGATGACGAGAACCGTTTATGTGAAAAGTATTGGCCCGATGAAATTTCAAATAAAAGCATTTACATTGAATTGCCTAAAAAGTAACTAAAACATAAAGTGTTGTTGAAAGGGGGTATAGGCTTACGTCGAAAAAAAATCGATGTTGATCGCTACTAATTTTACTACTATCTGTTGCGTCTATAAGGAGAAAATGGTTAAACACGACTCATACCGAAAAACGTAGCGTCCATACAAATTCAAAAAGTTGTAATATTCGACTCAGATCGTAAATATAATTCAATTTAATTCCAAACAAATCATTCAGATATTACAACCTGTAACCATCGAACTTTATTCAACGCGTTTGTTTTTAGCTCATATTTGATAATATTTTATGTTTGTTTCATATACAATATACTTAAAAGGACACCTAGCGACAAAAAATCGTCGTTTAAAGTACATCGTATATGAAACAAGTAACAAATACTCATGAAATATCAACTATATACAAATGTGTCGAATAAAATTTGATAATTATAGGTTGTAATATTTGAATGATTAGTTTGGAATTGAAGTGATTTATTTACGATCTAAGTAGGATATTGCAACTTTCTGAATTTGTATGGACGCTACAATCTCCGGAATGACTCGTTATTAACAATTTTTCCTTATAGACGCAACAGATAGAACTAAGATTAATAGAGATCAAAAGCCATTATTTTTCGACTTAAACCTATACCCCCTTTTATTTTTTACGAACACTCCCTTTAATAACAATCAAAGAGATGGTACCAACTCGTACTTTAACCCATTTCAAGTTCTACAAAAAATCTATTTGAGGTCGAAATATATTCACAAAGTTTTGATCCTCACATCTTGGTTTTCAATTTAGAGTTCACTCAATTAAAAGTTTTAAATTACAAAAGTTGATGATTGCAATTGCATTCCCAAACATTGGTTATTGAAGGTAATTTATTGGAACACATTTTTCCTAAAATAGATTTCCCTCCAAAACACGTGAAATTAAAGTAAATATCACGTCACATTGAAGTTTTCAATCATAATTCCTCTAATTGAAGAGTTATTGAGCAGAACAATATGTTTTTATTTCTGTTATGTAACCAAATAAATTTTGACTTTCTCATACTTGAGCAATGTGCATAGCCTCAAAGATAGAGGAGCTACGAGGTTATAAAGTCGTATAGCATGAACTGTACGTTCTCCTTCAATTTAGTTTGCAGTAAAAATGAGAAAAATATTGTTGTGAACACTGAATAGATTTGCTTAAATCCTCTTCACGTCTACAGTCTGGACAATTACCAGGGAACGAACAGAATTTTAAGATGTTTAACCCTTTCCAGGTTGGGAAGAAGAAGAGAGGGGGGTAATGCCCTGCATGCACTATAACGCTTAAACTTCTTGAGCTTTATAACCGTATAACTGAATACAACAGAAATTGGTTTTTGCCACAAACTATAATTTGTAAATCCCTCTATCTTTCGACCTGATATTTTAATTAGGAATTTTGTTAGATCAAATAAGTTTGAGATAAAAAAGTTTTACACCATCAAGTTGCAAAGATTTTTGGATTAGAAAATTTGAGTTTTAGGACAGTTATGAGCTATCTAAGAGATTAAAAATATGCCATTGCCTCTTTTTTAACCACCTGGATAGGGTTTATAGATTAAACAATCAATATTCCAAGAAGGGAATAGAAGAAAAGAAAGAGTTAAGAAAACTTGTTGAAAACTTTGAAACAATTAACGCTGTAACAACAAATTTCGATCCTTGTCGACTCCTTGATTAACAAAACAATTGTTCTTTAATTCCATTGGGTTAAACCATTGAGTTAAACCATTGGGTTAAACCATTGGGTTAAACCATTGGGTTAAACCATTGGGTTAAACCATTGGGTTACACCATTGGGTTGAACCATTGGGTTAAACCATTGGGTTAAACTATTGGGTTGAACCATTAGGTTAAACCATTGGGTTGAACCATTGGGTTAAACCATTTGGTTAAACCATTGGGTTAAACCATTGGGTTAAACCATTGGGTTTTACCATTGGGTTAAACCATTGGGTTGAACCATTGGGTTAAACCATTAGGTTATACCATTGGGTTAAACCATTGGGTTAAGCCATTGGGTTAAACCATTGGGTAAACCATTGGGTTGAACCATTGGGTTAAACCATTGGGTTAAGCCATTGGGTTAAACCTTTGGGTTAAACCAATGGGTTGAACGGAAATTATAAACTTTTTTGTTGTATTTTTATTGGACCGATCGTATCGTTGTAAATCGGACATGCCTCTCTAAAAATAGAAGGTCACTTGAAATTTCGCTTACAGTCCCTTTAAACAAACGTTAATATGGAATGTAAAAAAAAAAACATTATTTCGGACCATTTCCCAAACTTCATTCATTTTTTCAGTGCTTTTTTTCGAATCTGAATTTAGCCTCAAATTCCCGCGTGCATTTTTTTATATTTAAAAAACCCAAAATTGCAATTGCAATTTATCTCAAATAAAATGTTTACATTATGTTTAAGAAAAAATGATTTTACCTATAAAAAAGTTTCACAATGAAATATTTTTTATCGTTCCATTACAGCAGTGTTAGGTCCTTAATTATATTGTGTCAACTTTACTTTTTTCAAGAATTTTGTTCTATCTTTTGCTGAATAATCAGGACTTTGATTTGATCTAAGTTTTATTCCTCTGAGGTTTGGTTTGGTTGGGTTCGGTTTCCAATCTTGGTCCTGCGAGGGAGGGATCCCCCGGACGCCATGAGCCTTTGCTATGCAGACATGAGCCTCCCAGAGTTGCTAGGCAGACAGAGCCTCCACTATGCAGACCAAGCCTCTGTAATGAAAGATTTTTTTTGCCGTTGTGGCATTATTGTATTTTACTATAGATTGAGTTATTTATTGTTTTGTCATGATATAAAGCATATATGGACTCAAAAAGTGATTTATAAGATTCATAACAAAATTTTAAACATTTCTTACGCAAAAAAGAAGATATTTGGAGTATTATTTCTGGAGTAAACTTAGTTTTTTGTTGTTGTAATCTTTGATTTAAACAACACCTTTTTTAAAAAAAAATGTTAAGATTTAAATAAATGATGCAAATTTTCTAGATTTATTTGAACTGAAAAACAAGGTATCGCTTAAGTCAAAGATTACAGAAGATGAAATTAAATTAAATTCAAATTTTTCTCTCTAAATATTTTCCTTTTTGTGTAAAAAATGTTTTAAGTTTTATTTACCACTTTACCAGTCATAATTAGGCACTATTTATGATAATTGATAAATACTTCTCATCTTTGAGAAACCTCTCATGCCATTATGTCGGAAAAATTGTAAACAAATCTTTTATTTAAACTTAAAACACAAGTTTAAACAAACTTCTTGCATTACACAGGCTCATTTGGATGTATTGCGCATGCTCATTATTGCATTGCTGAGGCTCGGCCTACCTAGCAAATCTGGGAGGCTCGTGTCTGCAAAGCGAAGGCTTATGGCATCTGGGGGTTCCCTCCCTCGTACGGCTCTCGTCTAAGAGGGAAGTTTCTAAATTTAGTTTTATTCATCAAAAGATTGAGTGGTCGAAACCATGTCAAGCATAAACTTGTAAATCGGGCATTGCCATCATTTTAAATTATGCTTGAAGACAAACAAGATATTATTATTTCTCCGGTAAGGCAGGAAAACTATTCCAAGATAAATGAGAGCTGACTTGCTAAAAACAATATTAAAGATTTAGAAACTCCATTTTATTTAATTAAATAATTAATTATTGCAGAGGAGACCCAAGCGGAGGGTTTGCAGGACGGATTAAACGGCTCGGCCTTGCCGGATACTCATTTACTCCGCCTCTCCGCTCTCATCTACATCTTAGCATTGAAATATTTCTAAAAACTTCAAAGAGTCCTCGCTTTACTAATAGAACAAAACCTAAATTTTGTTCGCTGACGAACTATCAAAAACGTTACAAATCAACAAAAAAATTTTCGAATATGTGGAGGGAGAAGTCCCCTACAGGGAAGGTTAATTCAAGGGGAATTCATGTCTAAGTACATTTTAGTGTGGGTATAGGGATATCAACGCCCTCCCAAGCTTAAATTTAATCTATATTTTTAAAAATAAAACCATACAAAAATTTTACAAACTTTTCTGTGAAATTATTCATTTATTACTGAGCTAAAAATTCCTCTTGTTTATTTCTGAGGAAGTATGTTGTTTTACTTTACCATCCCTTGGGATTATGCTGCTCTCCAATGAACACTATTTCTTGAATCTATGTAAGTCCCGGGAAAAAAAAGTTTCTGGAAAAAAACAACCTGGAAATAAAAACTTTGGAAAAACAGTCCGAATTTTATCAAGTCCTCGGAAAAAATGTCACTGGAATAAAGTCCTGTGTTTTGGATTCCTGGGACTTTTTTTCCTAAAACAGTATGTGCATGGGGGCTGCCAATAAAGTCTCAGGAAATAAGATCCCAGGAAAAAAAGTCCTGAAGGAAATGAATCCGAGGAAAATAAAAACCTAGAATTGTGAATCATGCATTTTCACTTGTTACAGGACTTTATGTCTGAGGACTTTTTTGTATAAAATCATACTGGAGCCAGAAATAAAGTCTCGAATTGGTAGGACTTTATTTCCGGAGACTTTTTAATAAAAGGACTTTTTTTCCACTGGACTTTTTTAGTGTGAAATTTTAGGACTTTTTTCCAAGGACTTTTTTGGCGGTTACCTAACTTTTAATCAGTGTACTGTAGATTACTGCAATAGGGACCGTAAACTTAGTTTAGGGTGACGAAATAACATTTTGCATTTTGTTGTGCGTTCAAAACATACTTAGCTACACTAATGATATCATCTAGGCCAAATATCTAAAAAACTCTGTTTCATTTGATGTACACCACGAAGTAAGGAATAGAAGGGAGATATAACTGAAGCAGTTCGCTCTACCATATGATTATACAAGGTTTGCAGACGGGTTCTCCATTTGTATAAGAAATATTCAGAATAGGTATACGTGGTAATTGTACATCAAACAAATATTTCTCATTCTAATGAAGTACCGTCTGTAAAGCATGTGTTTGTATAATCATATGGTAGGGCGAACCGCGTCAGTTATATCTCCCTTCTATTCCTTACTCCCTGATGTACAACCTTTCTCCGTAGCTGTACCAACTGGAATGCAGATAAAACATGTTGTACAGTACAGTATACAATATACATACATGACTTTAAACGGCAAAACATAAGTACACCAAAGTCAAACGAATCATCCCCTTTTAGGAAGATTAATATAAATTGATTCTTTATTTGTGGTAAACATTTGTTTTAAAGATATTTTACTTAGTTATCCCATGGGGCAGTGAAATAAAATAACAGACCGCCATGAAGGTAGAAATAGTTAATTAACAAAATATGGGTTAGACAATTTTTTAAAAATATGATAAAACAGTTTTAACGACTTCTGTATAGTTAAGGATCAAATAAAAGTAAAAATAAATGTAAAGAGAATTTAAATATTTAAATATTGTTATTTAATATTCAAATATTACCTGTGATGTTTGTAAACAATAAAATATATTTATTCAATAAACTTGGGTTTATTCACTGCGTTTTATTTACTGTTAAACTTTAATCTCAAGGGACTGTACGCGTAGTTTCAAGTGACCATCCATTTACAGAGAGGCATGTCGGAAGCACAAAAGTACCCTTTAAACCTTTGTCCAAACAACGATGAGGTAGACAGGCACCCTCATTTGCATATTTGAAGATTGAGTGCCAGGAGACTCAAGGTTACAGTGTAACTGTACATACAGTGTACATTGGACACGCCGTGCTAGTGTACACTCGCGCGGTTTCTTGGCACTTAATTTTCTGCTCCTTAAATTAGAATATCTATGAAATACTTGATTAAACAAAGGCTTAAAGGGTATCGTTGTAAATTAGACATGCCTCTCCACAAATTGAAGGTAACTTAAAATTACGCTTACAGGCTTAGGGTCTGAATCTATGGATAGCAGACCTAGAAACTGTATACGGTTTGTAGTTGCAATGCATATGCATTGGCCAATTTATTCATTGACATAATTCTTTCAATTAATCTTTCGATGACTTTTCGGCAAATATAATTTAATATCTGTAGTTTAAGTAACAAAAAAATATTACCTATTGAATCTTTTTTTTTGTTAAACACGTTACACAAACCTGTATTTACAACGGTACCCTTGATAGCTTTGTCTGATCAAGTACACATTATCAATGTTTATTATTTTAAAAGCTGATTATTTTCAATTGTGTTTTTTTATACAAAAGTAAATTCATATTTTGCTGTAGAAAAGCACATAGGATTTAACATATTTAAAAAGTTTTAACTAAAAACGACAAAATCTTTCACACTATTGATCAGATAAAGGTTTTAAGGAGACCCTTGGGAATCGGGCACTGTCATCTTTGCATAGAGGATCATTCAAAAAAGCTTACAGTCCCTTTAAAAAAATCATTCTTCTTAACCCTATCCTTGCTGGGGTACTTGAAAACCAGGATATGCTGGGGGGGGGGTCAATTTGACCCCCCCCCCCTCTAAATCCCATGTTTGATGTCCAAATATGACAAATGATACATAATTGGAAAGCTCTTGTGCTCTACTTTTAGAATCTGCAAAAAAATTTGCAAATTTGCAAAAATTGAATTTTTTATCGCAAAATCCAGTTATATAGTAAAAATGTTTGCAAAAAAAATTTGGTCCAAAAAATGAAAAATTATGCATTTTTGAAAAGCCCTTATCCATGCCATTTCAAATATGCAAAAATTGTTGCAAAATTTTAAATAACCTGATTTTTAATCAAGAAAAACTAAAAATGTGCAAATTTCCTTTGACAGGTTGTTTGCAAAAAATTTGCAAGTTTTTTTTCGCAAAACTTGTGCAATCCGTTTCCTTATGTCATAGGCTTTCCAAAAAGCTAAATTTTATCAAAATCTGACAAGTGAAAGTGGGTCAAAACAAAGATTTAGTTTGTTACAGGAAAAAGCAGTCATTCAGGCAGTGTGCCTGAGGACTCAGGCAGCTAGTATTAAAGCCCGGTTTTAGGCCTAAAGGGAGAGCTTTGGGTATGTAAGAAGAGTCAGAAAATTTCAATAACCTCAGACCAATACTTTTTGAGTTATGTAAAAAAAACTAAAGGGGGGGGGTCAACTTAACCCCCCCCCCCCAGCAGGAATAGGGTTAAGAGCCAAGAAAATTCAGGGTGACAATTTGTCCGAAATAAGAGTGATAAAGCAAAAGAAATTGCAAATAATAAATAAATAGCTATGAAATATGCTAAAACATGCATACCTTATTACCGGAAAACCTAGGTTTAAAAACACACTCAAAATATTGTAAGCTTAATATTAAAGAACCGTAGCTAGAAATTCTAAAATTTCCGAACTGCATTTTTTTCTTTATTTCACCTTTAGGATAAAATGGAAAAAAGAGAAGGATGAAGAAGAGAAAAATAAGAACGAGAGGAAGGAGAAAAAGAGAGAATGAGAGAGAGAAAAGGTGAAGAAAGAATAAAAAGAAAAAAGAACGAGAGAATAAAGGAGAAAAAAAGAGAATGAGAGAGAGGAAAGAAGAAGGACGAAGAAAAGAAAAAATAGAACGAGAGAATGGAGAAGAAGAGAGAATGAGAGAGAGAAAAGGTGAAGAAAGAAGAAAAAGAAAAATAAGAACGAGAGGAAAAAGAAGAAGAAAGAATGAGAGAGAGAAAATGAGAAGTAAGATTTAAGGCAAAATAACCATGAACGCAAAAAAAGCAGGAGAGAGAATGGGGGAAAGAGAAGAATGAAAGAAGTTTAACCCTATAAAAGCTGTGGGGAAGTGAAGAAAAGGAAAGGAATACAAAAAATAGAAACCAAAGAAAAGGAAAAATAAAAGCCCAGGAGATGATAGTTGAAGAACTTTAAAGGAATGAAAGAAGAATGTCAAAAAAATATTTGTTTTAAAAATAGGAATGAAAAAGTTGAAAAAATCAATGCAGTACGATTTTAAGATTTCTAGCTAGGGTTCCTAACTGAAAAGCGTACAATATTTAAGTGTTTTTTAATCTTAGGTATTCAGGTAATTAGGTATCATACAGATTTCTAAAGTCCTTTATATAATTATTCAATTAAAAAAATTAATAACGGCAGCATTCCCTTATCAGTATGTTTGGAAAACAACATTTTATAAATTCTTTCGATTTATGTCTGTCAATGTAGTTGGTGTACCGGGTGGGGCAGTACAAACAAGGACCGTAATGGGTTAGGTCGGTTCAGCTCAGATTCAAATGAACATGAGTTGAGTGTGCAGAAAGCATAATTCGAAATTACGAACTTGTCGTTAGAACCAATGAACATCAGCATGTTAGTGATGTAAAAAGTTGTGAAATATTCATAACATTCTGTGAATAATTTTGAACAAAACCTTGATTTTAAAATAGTTTCCGGTTTTTCGATATTACAAAAAAATGTTAGAATTTGTTCAAACTTTATGGAAATTTGAAGATATGGATATATAAAGTTAACCTTCTCCAGGATAATATATTTCTAGTTAAACCCCCAACCTGATAAATTGATGCAATCCCCGAGTTTTAACATAAAACCAAGGCAAGGAAAGTATTCAAAATATCATTTCTTAATTTATTTATTTTTTATTTAAAAGTTAAGAAGTTTCCAAAAAAAGAGCTTTTTCTACTTTAATTCAACTTTCTTTTATCAATATTCTTTAAAGCCATTGATGCAAATTATGTTTAGAGGGATTCAATCGGTTTTCAAGATATTTAAACAAATAGCTCTCTTTACTCAATGAATAGTCGATGCTTTAATGGGTACCGTTGTAAATCGGAAATTTCCCTCTCTCGGGTCACATGAAATTACACCTACAGCCCCTTTAAAGTCACTGTTCAGGATATAAAATTTGTTGAACCTTTTATTCTATTTGAAAGTCATGATTAGTTTAAATTGGGTTCAATCTTCTAGAAAAGGATAGAATTAGATTTTCTTCGAAAATTCTAAAATGTTTCCGTCTTTTGAATTTAAAAATTAAGGACGGACCCATGACCACGATTTCTTAAAGGGACTATAGGCGTAATTTTAAGTGACCCTCCGCAAAATAAAATATGTATTGGTATAAAAATATCGGATATTTTTAACGTTAAAAGTGGGCTATACAAAAGTTAATAGATATTTTTTGACACTTTCTTTAAAATAAGACAGTTTGTAATCGAAATGTTTAACAAATAAAACGTTTCATTTATCAATTTGTCAAAGTCATTTTTTAAACTTTAAACATTTTTCTTTAATATTGCGTAAAATAAAATATGTCTAGATTTGAGCGAAGTAAATATATCAACTCCTGTCCTGAAAACTTATAAATTATAAGAGAAGAACAAACAATTTATTTTATTGTTTTAAATTCTTCTAAACAGAATTTAAGATTTATCTTTTCAAGAAAAACATTTTAGTGATATAACTTTGCCTTTTCAATCTTATCCTACTTTTTGTATTTATCATCAAAATTTTCATTCAGAAAGGAATTTAGTCTTTGCAACCTGATGTTGTTAACTTTTAAATGTTTTAAACTTAGAT